CAGATACGTGATTACACAGTTATATAATTCCTGCTCCTCATTTGATCTTCGTTTACCTGTCATTTTAGACCCCCCCCTATCTGTCTTATATATCTCTCTTTTATAAGTTCTCTCTGTGTCTCCCTCTTTAACATGTCCTCTCTCTCTCTCTCCTAACGCTGTAGGAGCACTGACCGGTCAAACTATAACATTGTTCTAAGGGAGGAGAAATCTGGTGAAGGTCAGTTACAGAAGTCCTTTGACGTTTCTCCTGCCACGCTGTACGATGACCCCGGCCAGTCTGATCCCAGCTGTATGTACCAACACCTTTGGTGCGCATGATTTGAACACCTTTGGTATCCGTATGGTGTGTATTCACCTAGTTGTATTCACCTAGTTGTATTCACCTAGTTGTGCTTGCGGGGGTTGAGCTCGGCTCTTTGGGTCCGCCTCTCAACTGTCAATCAACTGTTTCTAACTACTACTACTATTTTTTTAACACCACACACCCACACACACACACACACCAGGAAGCAGCCCATGACAGCTGACTAACTCCCAGGTACCTATTTACTGCTAGGTAACAGGAGCATAGGGTGAAAGAAACTCTGCCCATTGCTTCTCGCCGGCGCCAGGGATCGAATCCAGGACCACATAATCACGTTACCAGCGTGCTGTCCGCTCGGTCACCGGCTCCCTTCACACACATTGTGTGCGTGTGTGTGTGTGTTGACTCTGAGGGGCTAAATACACACAACACACGTAAAGTAACAGGGAACGAGCAACATGAAATCAGTTGAGGAAGTGTTTGTCATATTTTGCTGAAATAACAACTCCAGAGGAAGGACTCGACCCGTCGCTCTGTGAAGCGGTGAGGCGACACCCTGAAGTATGATGATACAGACGACTCTGAAACAGATCGTGATGAAGCAGACTCTTCGTGCTGCAGACTCTTCGTGATGAAGCAGACTCTTCGTGCTGAAGCAGACTCTTCGTGATGAAGCAGACTGTAGAGTGAAAGGATTGTAGCGTATGTTTTGAGCATCCAAGTATCGTTGATATTCTTTTCCTACATGGGGTCTCATATTTACTGTGAGCTGGTGCCTCACTCCCAGGGAAAGTGGTGTGTGTGGGGCTCTGGTAATGATGGGGTGACTTGCAGAGCCACCCAGAGGCGCACACACACGTACGTCAGACCCCCCCCCCCCACACACGAGGCTTGACGGCTGAGTGGACAATGCTTGGGATTCGTAGTCCTAGGATCTGGGGATCGATCCCAGCGGAGGCGGAAACAAATGGGCAGAATTTCTTTCATCCTGATGATCCTCTTCACCTAGCAGCAAATAGGTATCTGGGAGTTAGACAGCTGCTACGGGCTTCTTCATGTGTGTGTGTGTGTGGAAAAAATCAGTTGATTGATTGACAGTTGAGAGGTAGGCCCAAAGAGCCAGAACTCAACCCCCGCAAGCACAACTAGGCGAGTACAAATAGATGACAAGGAGCTGGGATAGGACGAAGGGAAGGAACGCTGCCCATGGGGAACACAGAGCGCCAAGGGATTCACTGGAGGCATCTCCCGTCACGCAGGGTGCCCTCGCACCTCCACAGATCTCCAGTATCATCTATTGATACTGGTAATGGCTCAAGAGGGCCACCACTTACGGGCTATTCATGCCCGTGCTACCTTTTGGGTGGCTTAATCCTCATCAATCAATCACAAGAAACAAGGGATACATCTCCCGTCACGCAGGGTGCAGTCGCACCTTCACAGATCTCCAGTATCATCTATTGATACTGTTAATGGTTCAAGAGGACTACCACTTACGGGCTATTCATGCCCGTGCCACCTTTTGGGTGGCTTAATCTTCATCTATCAATCACAAGAAAATCAACACCGGAACAATGGACTACGTAACGAATAAACTTAAAGAATCTCAAGAAAAATTCCTACCACCACTAAGGGTTAAAGGAAGAAGACGAGCATTAGCTCATAGTTCAACCGACAGTGGCTGGAGGCGAAGGAAGACATAAAGACAACATCTAAGAAATTCAGAGAACACAGAAGGAAATCACAGACACCAGCAGCGTAGCGGAGAAGCAGTACGGGAATGACACCGCCCACAAGGCCAAGTCTCGGCCTTAACTATTCCATAGTCACATTAGAATCACGATGACTGGACGACCAGGTGATGACACTTGACAAAGGGGAGGAAAGACGCTACGGAGAATGATAAGGAGGTATGCGAGGAACTTAATAAATGTCCCCCAGGAAGTATTCAAGCTTGAGCCTAATCTGCCACTAGAGCCGAGAACCCAAACCGAACGGGCAGGCCAGAAGAGGCAAGAAAACAACTACAGGAACCTAAGATGATAAAAGCTGTAGAAGAATATCATCTTAAATACTAAAGCAGGCAGCTGAAGCATTTCGCAATCCCCCCCCCCCCTTGTCATAATATTTTATTTCAAGAAACGAAACTTCCATACGACTGGAAAACGGCTAATGTGGTACCAGTCAACAAGAAAGGGACAAGACAAGAACGTTACACCACAGACCTGTATCTACGACTAAACCTGTATCACTAACAAGTGTCCCCTGCAGGTTGCGAGAGAGACTGATCCAAAGCAGACTAGTAGAACATTTACAGTACCTCAATTTAGTCCCCAAATTCCAGCACATATACAATACAATACAACACAATACAATACAATTTTATTTAGGTAAGGTACATACATACAATAAATTTTTACAAGGATTGGTTGACTTATAGGTAGAGCTAGTACATACAATGCCTAAAGCCACTATTACGCAAAGCGTTTCGGGCATGATAAACTTAAATGACAAGCTTAATACTAATTGAGCATAATGAGTAGAATGAAAACAAGAAATGAAAACATAGATGAAAAAGCAGCACAAATTTATTTATTTATTTATGCATATACAAGAATGTACATAAGGAATGTGAGGATACAAATATGGTAATTACAGTCTTGTAAAGCCACTAGCACGCGCAGCGTTTCGGGCAGGAATTATGTCGGAATAAATACAATTATGTCGACAAACAGCGCTCTTTAAAGAAAAAAACTGACATTGGTTGACAATAGAAGGGTAAGGTAGGTTACAGGGAATTTATTAGGTATAGCTTCGCTTTTAACTTAAACTGGTTGAGAGAGGTACAGTCTTTAACATGGTTGGGAAGGTCATTCCACATTCTGGGCCCCTTGATTTGTAGAGCATTTCTAGTTTGATTAAGTCGTACTCTAGGAATATCAAAACTGTATTTATTTCTGGTGTGATGCTCATGGGTTCTGATACAACCTTCTATGAAGCATTTGAGATCAGGATTGGCATTATAGTTTAGCGTTTTAGCATTATATTGGCATTATATTTAGCAAAGGAAACGTCTGTTCGACAAACTTATTGAAGTTCTACATTAAGATGACAGAAACCAAACAAGAGAATGATGGGCAGACTAAAACTCACTTCGTGTCAACTATAGCCCCGTCTCACGTTCCTTGAGCAACCATTCTCATATAATTACACTCGTGAAGGAGGTTAGAGTACTTCCAGATTGAAATTTTACCCCCATCCATATGGCCATGGAAAATGACAGACAATATGATCCTCACCCTCAAGCAGCACAGAACGCTTCAGACAAAACATTTTTGACGTGTGCCTAACTGAATAGTGATTCCAGATATGGTTACAATACAATACAATACAATACAATACAATTTTATTTAGGTAAGGTACATACATACAATAAATATTTACAAGGATTGTTTAACTTATAGGTATAGCTAGTACATACAATGCCTAAAGCCACTATTACGCAAAGCGTTTCGGGCATGATAAACTTAAATGACAAGCTTAATACTAATTGAGCATAATGAGTAGAATGAAAACAAGAAATGAAAACATAGATGAAAAAGCAGCACAAATACAATTATGTCGACAAACAGCGCTCTTTAAAGAAAAAAACAGACATTGGTTGACAATAGAAGGGTAAGGTAGGTTACAGGGAATTTATTAGGTATAGCTTCGCTTTTAACTTAAACTGGTTGAGAGAGGTACAGTCTTTAACATGGTTGGGAAGGTCATTCCACATTCTGGGCCCCTTGATTTGTAGAGCATTTCTAGTTTGATTAAGTCGTACTCTAGGAATATCAAAACTGTATTTATTTCTGGTGTGATGCTCATGGGTTCTGATACAACCTTCTATGAAGCTTTTGAGATCAGGATTGACATTATAGTTTAGCGTTTTATATATGTATAATACACATGAGAGAATGTGCAGTGACTTAATGTCTAACATATTCAGAGATTTAAGTAGGGGTACCGAGTGATGTCTGGGGCCAGAATTGGATATTGTCCTAATAGCAGCTTTGTGTTGAGTAATTAGAGGACGTAAGTGATTTTGGGTAGTAGAGCCCCAAGCACAAATACCATAGTTGAGATATGGATAGATAAGGGAGTAATAGAGAGTAACCAGGGCAGGGCGTGGTACATAATATCTGATCTTAGAAAGAATGCCCACAGTTTTTGAAACTTTTTTTGATATGTTTAGAATGTGTCCCTGGAAATTAAGCTTGTGGTCAATGAGAATGCCAAGGAATTTGCCATCTAATTTGTTACAAATTTGGGTATTGTTTATTTTGAGATTTATTTGATTAGAGGATTTATTGCCAAACAGAATATAAAAGGTTTTGTCAATGTTAAGGGTGAGTTTGTTGGCAGTTAGCCACAGATGGACTTTATTTAGCTCAGTATTTACTGTGGCATTTAGAGCAAGGGGATCAGGACTGGAGTAAATGAAGGTTGTGTCGTCAGCAAATAGAATTGGTTTGAGGTGTTGGGAGGCATTTGGAAGGTCATTAATGTAGATGAGAAAGAGGAGAGGGTTCTTACCAATCACTGACGACTTTCTGAATTCCATGACGAAATATAATTGCATTTTTTTTTTGCCTGTTCAGGTTGGTAATGGGTGAGAGTGGAACGAAGGGCGAGCCGTGGCAGCCGGCATATGAGGACTGTGCCAGTCTCCAGCCGGGGCAACCCGCCCAGCACGACTTCCAGCCGGGGCGACCCGCCCAGCACAACTTCCAGCCGGGGCGACCCGCCCAGCACAACTTCCAGCCGAGGCGACCCGCCCAGCACAACTTCCAGCCGGGGCGACCCGCCCAGCACGACTTCCAGCCGGGGCGACCCGCCCAGCACGACTTCCAGCCGAGGCGACCCGCCCAGCACAACTTCCAGCCGGGGCGACCCGCCCAGCACGACTTCCAGCCGGGGCGACCCGCCCAGCACGACTTCCAGCCGGGGCGACCCGCCCAGCACGACTTCCAGCCGAGGCGACCCGCCCAGCACAACTTCCAGCCGGGGCGACCCGCCCAGCACGACTTCCAGCCGGGGCGACCCGCCCAGCACGACTTCCAGCCGGGGCGACCCGCCTAGCACAACTTCCAGCCGGGGCGACCCGCCCAGCACACGTCCAGCCGGGGCGACCCGCCCAGCACACGTCCAGCCGAGGAGGTTGGAAGTAACATCAGGTAGTGATGAAGGGAAGGTGGGGAATGTGGTGAAGGGCGGAAAATGTGTAAATAGATAAAGTGTTGAAGGTTGAGTGTAGTGAAAATGCTTACAGTAAAATTAAGATACTGTGTAGTGAAGATATGACCCCAATCACCAGGGGCAACGCCGGGTATCCCCCGCTAGTAGACATTATATGTCAATATAATGATTGGAATCGCCAGCTGCAACCATGTTGTACCATCGTACAGATTCACTGATTTGTTCTTCTCTCCTCCTTTCCTCAGTAACCTTGTCACGGTGATGTTGCCTGACAATACCTCTAATTTGTAGAAGAGTCTTGGGTATGAAGTATTCAATATATATGGTCTCCTTCAACGCCTTTAGCAGCCAGCACATCTGCTCATTCATTCCCACATATTCCAACATGGGAGGGGATCCATAGAAATTTTACGACTCTTCCCAGATTGGTTAGTATTCTCACAGCTCTCTTGATTTTAGCGACTATCGCAAGATTTTCTGCACTATTTTTACTAAATACTTTGTAGCGCTGCTTTTGAATCAGTGCAGATCACGGCATCATTAGTGTTTCGTTCAAGGACTCTTAACGCCATAACGATGACAGTTAACTCCACTTGCGTTGAAGAGGCTTAGTTCTCAATACGTGCTTGTTCTCCATTTCCGAATTGAAAGGCATTATTCGTAATTGCAGTGTATGCTGCACCAGCCCTGACATTGACAGGGTTAGATGACCCATCAGTGTAGATTTGATTTAACTCATTTCCGGCTTCTTTATAGATTTCCTCAAGACAATTGTGCCTCATTTCTTGTGGTACCATGTTGGACTTTTTCGTTGCCATTTCATTGATGAAATCCTGCATGGGTCATCCTCCCAGGGAGGTAACCTCTCTACAGGCAGGAGCTCAAGGGCTTGCTCAAGCAGGTGAAGCTCTTCGAGGTAGCAGACTGATCTGTGATGCCATTTTTTTTTTTTTTTTTTTTGAGATATATACAAGAGTTGTTACATTCTTGTACAGCCACTAGTACGCGTAGCGTTTCGGGCAAGTCCTTAATCCTATGGTCCCTGGAATACGATCCCCTGCCGCGAAGAATCGTTTTTTCATCCAAGTACACATTTTACTGTTGCGTTAAACAGAGGCTACAGTTAAGGATTTGCGCCTAGTAAATCCTCCCCGGCCAGGATTAATTGCAAACTTAGCATTCAGTTCCTTAATACATCTTGCCTGAAACGCTCTGCGAGTTAGTTGCCTTGAAGGCATATACCAATTTGTGCAGAAAATCTGCACTTACACAATCCTATTGCATCATCTTCTGTACGCAAAGTTATAAACACAAAATCAATTTATAAAATTTACAAAACACTACCCTTTTTATTTTATTTTTCACTCGAGTGATATTAATTCAGTGAGACGTGGCAGTCAGAACCTTGTGCCCTGACCAGTTGAGCTTCTCCTTTGGATTCAGTGTGGGAAATAAACCATGCAGTGTCTGTCCTGTACACTTTCGATCTCGAACCCATTGTTGATGTGACGACTTATACTGAATTTTGTAACTAGCTCATCAAGATTGTAACTTGCTTAGCTAAATGAATTGTGGGGTTCAGTCCCTGAGCCCATTATGTGCCTCTGTAACCCTTTCCACCACCGTCCACAAGATGGGTATGGGGTGCATAATAAATGAACTAAATTAAACTGTACACTTGAGGGAAATATCACCTAAAACCAAAACATGCATTGTTATCCTTCTCCAAGATGTGAAACCATATACATAACTGTGCATCTTGTAGTAGCAGGCATCCACCAGTCTCAGGAGACTATGGAGTTGGGCTCTGGTTGTCGGTCTGGAGTGACCTCTTGATAACCGAATCTGCGAGTGATTGATTGATTGATGAAGATTAAGCCACCCAAAAGGTGACATGGGCATGAATAGCCTGTAAGTGGTGGCCCTTTGGAGTCATTACCAGCATCTTTAGCTGATACTGGAGATCTGTGGAGGTGCGACTGCACCCTACGGAGAGGTCGTGACCTCTCCCTGCGAGCGAGCATCACTCGCAGTAATATAAGATAGGATTGCGTGTACGAAATGACGTCCCTCACAAATAAACACATTAGGATCGTCGAGACAGCTGGGATAAAGAGACGTACGATTAGCTCAGATATATAATCATCTGTCCACAGGTAAATTAATGTTGATACGAAACAGACAAATCTGGTGTCCGAAATAGTAAAAATATTAGTGTGCGATGTGATCAATGTAAGGGGGATATTGGGTGTGCCTCGTATCCCCTACAACAACAAGAAGTTCGAGAGCGATGAGGCCGCCACCTACTAGCTTCAGGATGTCGTCGAATCTAAATCAACCATATACTACCGCCGCTACTTTCTCGGAAACGTAAGTACCTGCCGCTTTACTTCTCTCACCCTGCCTAGTCTGGCCTGGCCTGGCCTGGCCTGACCTAGCCAGACCTGACCAGACCTGATCTGGCCTAGCCTTACCTAGCCTAGTCTGACCTGGCCTAGTCTGACCTAACCTGGCCTAGCCTTACCCAACACTAATCACCACACGTGACAGCCCAAACGAATCGCAAACAAGTACACGTAACAAGTCATATGCCCGGACACTCTTTCACCTTGGGGACTGAGTGGTAACTATTGTATAAATAAATATAAATAATAAATATGTTTATTCAGGTAAGGTACATACATACAAGTGATGTTACATTAATGGATCAATATATAGATAGAGCTAGTACATACAATGCCTAAAGCCACTATTACGCAATGCGTTTCGGGCAGGAAGAACATTAATATCTAGAACTTAATACTAATTGAGCATAAAAAATAAAATGTGTTGAGAATAAATACAAATAAAGATAAAAAAAAAAGGGGGAACATGACTGAAAAGCAGCACAAATACAATAGGTTGACAAACAGTGTTCATTAAAAAAAATAACAGACATGGGTTGACAATAGAGGGGTAAGGTAGGTTACAGGGAATTAATTAGGTAGTGTTTAGTTTTTATCTTAAACTGGTTGAGAGAGGTACAGTCTTTAACATGGTTGGGAAGGTCATTCCACATTCTGGGCCCCTTGATTTGTAGAGCATTTCTAGTTTGATTAAGTCGTACTCTAGGAATATCAAAACTGTATTTATTTCTGGTGTAGTGCTCATGGGTTCTGTTACAACCTTCAATGAAGCTTTTGAGATCAGGATTGGCATTATAGTTTAGTGTTTTATATATTTTATTTTTTTTATTTTATTTATGCATATACAAGAATGTACATAAGGAATGTGAGGATACAAATATGGTAATTACAGTCTTGTAAAGCCACTAGCACGCGCAGCGTTTCGGGCAGGTCCTTAATCTAAGAAAATTTTAAGGAGGTAAATACTTGCAAAATTTATAGACAAAAAAATGTTAACAGATTACATGGAATGAAAAAAAAGATGAGAGAAAATTATAGGTACAGTATATTAAAGGACATAGGTAGCTATGATTGATTGCAATGACAGCTTAAAATGGTAGTTGACAACAAATTGGTAGGCACAATACAGCAGAAACAATATAAGATTGATTGCAATGACAGCTTGAATGGTAGTTGACAAAAATTGGTAGTCACAATACAGCATATGGCTAGCACATAAAAGAAGACAGCAATGAGCACAATGATAAGGTTGTTTGATATTACATAAAAATTAGGAGATTGGGTAACACTAGATACAGAGCAAATTTAAAGCTCAGTGTAGGAAACTAAATAGATGAAGTTAGGTACTTTTTGGTTTTGCTTTTAAATAAGGCAAAAGTTTTACAGTTTTTCAATTCACTAGGGAGTGAGTTCCATAGACTAGGTCCCTTAATTTGCATAGAGTGTTTACACAGATTAAGTTTGACCCTGGGGATATCAAAGAGATATTTATTTCTGGTGTGGTGATAATGGGTCCTATTACATCTGTCCAGGGAGAGTTTCAGAGCATGGTTTGCATTTAAGAACAGGGTCTTGTAAATGTAGTTGACACAAGAGAATGTGTGGAGGGAGTTAATATTTAGCAAGTTTAGGGATTTAAACAAGGGACCTGAGTGTTGTCTGAAAGCAGAGTTAGTTATTATTCTGATAGCAGATTTTTGCTGTGTGATGATGGGCTTAAGGTGGTTTGCAGTGGTAGACCCCCATGCACAGATACCATAATTAAGATAGGGGTAGATTAGTGCATAATATAGTGAGAGGAGAGCAGAGTTAGGAACATAATATCTGATTTTGGAGAGTATACCAACTGTCTTAGAGACTTTCTTAGTTATGTGTTGAATGTGGGTGCTGAAGTTGAGTCTCTTGTCTAGGAATAGGCCAAGAAACTTGCCATCATTTTTATTACTGATGTTAATGTTGTCTATCTGTAGCTGAATTGCATTTGATGATTTGCTTCCAAATAAGATGTAGTAAGTCTTTTCGATGTTTAATGTTAGTTTGTTCGTTGACATCCATAAGTGGACTTTTTTTAATTCATTATTCACAACATTATTTAGTGTATGTGGGTTGAGGTTTGAGTAGATAAGGGTAGTATCGTCAGCAAACAATATAGGTTTGAGAATATTAGAGACATTAGGCAGATCGTTTATATATATAAGAAATAGAAGAGGTCCTAAGATGCTGCCCTGTGGCACTCCAACGGTAATTGGTAGAGTGGAAGAAGTTGTATCATTGATGGTTACATATTGGTGTCTGTCACTAAGATAGGATCGGATGTAGTCAAGGGCAAGGCCTCGGATTCCATAATGCTGGAGTTTAAGTAAGAGGTAGTTGTGATTAACAGTATAAAAGGCTTTTCTTAGGTCAATGAAGAGTCCAATCGGAAACTCATTTTTGTCAAGGGCTGAGTAGATAATGTCAAGGAGACTAATGATTGCATCATTGGTGCTCTTTTGGGACCGGAAGCCAAACTGGCAGGGGCTGAGTATGTCGAATTTTACGAGGTAGGAATAGAGCTGTTTGTAAATAATTTTTTCAAATATTTTTGATAGAATGGGTAGATTTGATATCGGTCTATAATTGTTTATGTCCG